TGGATCTGAGTGAGATTTTATCCTATTTCTACCATTGAAGACTTATTCTTGGACAAAATATAACTTTTGAAGCAAAGAAACTCTTTAGAGGCGAGAGGTAGGGACTTTTATTCCCTCCTCTAAAAGGAGTGGTGACTTAAATATTTATAGAGACAGACACAGAGAAAAAAAGTATATTAAGTAACAGCAGTAGCACTTAGACTTATATACCACTATATAGTGCTTTATAGCCCTCTCTAAGTGGTTTACAGAATCAGCATATTGCCCCCTAGAGCAGGGGTGGGCAATTAATTTCTGTCGGGGGGCCACATAGAAAATCAGATCTGCGTTCAAGGGCCGAACCAATTTTATAAAAGGCCATTATAAAGGGCCCATTATAAAATGCAGCAAATTATATATAAGAATATATTTATATATATATCATCAGAGTCATCAGAGAAGCCATAGAGATTGAAAAAAGACCAGAAAGCATGAATAGAAGAGATGATTCCACCAGATTGTCAATCATTTGGAAGCCTGCACTCACAAACAAAAAAATCTCCACGCCACAAGCCAGGCAAACACCTGGGCACAGACAGATCCCCCCTGATACCTCCAGCTCAAACACACCCCAACCAGGCACCCAGATGAAACCTAGCTTCCTAACTAATGATAGCCGTCCATTTACCCGGAGCCAAGCTGCACTAAAGGCCTCCAATAAAGTAACACAATGTTGCCAGCCAATCAAGATACAAAAAGAGCCAAAAAACAGACAGAAGATATTAGAAACACCAATCAAGCAGAACACAGCAAACTCCAAGACCAATAAACACAGACCAAGACTCCCAACCAATCAGGGTGAAGAAAAAACCATTCTGGCACAGCAATAGGCTGCCCCAAATTTAAATCTGAAACCACTATAAAAGCCTGACTCAGAGATGAACACTATACAGAAGCCTGATGATGGCAGATGAGATTCTGCTGAAACGTCGCTACAACTTTAAAAGCACAACTACTATGACGTGGGAAAATACCCGAGCAAAGCCGAATGCCATATATATATATATATATATAAAAAAAAATATTCTTATATATAATTTGCTGCATTTTATAATGGGCCCTTTATAATATAGATATATATATATAATATATATATAATATATATATATATATTATATATAAGAAAAAATAACACTGCGACTGCTCCTGCTACTACTTTCCACACTTTCCAAACACGAGTCCCAGGAGACAACAAACAGCAAACCGCGTTCAGGGGCATCCAAACCCACCTAAAGCTAGGCTGCTGCTGATGGAGCCTTGCCTTGCCTTGGTGCCCCATTTCCCGGCTCGGCAGTCCTGCTCGGGCGGCACTTTAAAAGCCCTCCTCCTTGCGTACGCGCCTGATGAGCCACTCACCACGACGGCGGCTCCCAGCACCCGAGCAACTTCCCAGCAACTTGCAGCTTGCTTTTTCCTCTCAGGCGTTCGCACCTGGCCCCGAGCCGCGCGGCAGAGGGGAAGCCCGGAGTGCTGCCGGGTCACCTCCTCCAAGCAGCCCACCCGCCCGCCGGGTGGAACCCTTCCCGCTCCTCAGCGGGAAGATGCTCCCACCTGCAAACTTTGCCTGTGCAAAGTTTAAGCCTGGAAGCCCCGGAAACCTGAGCAACTTCCCAGCAACTTTCGGCTTCCTTTTAACTCGTGGGCGCTCGCGCCTGGCCCCGAGCTGCGCGGCGGAGGGGAAGCCCGGAGCGTCGCCGGGTCGCCTCCTCCAAGCAGCACGCATGCACGCCGGGCTTCCCCTTGGCCGCGCGGCTCAGGGCCAGGCGCGAGTGCCCGCGAGGAAAAAGGAAGCTGCAAGTTGCTGGGAAGTTGCTCGGGTTTCTGGGGCTTCCAGGCTTAAACTTTGCACAGGCAAAGTTTGCAGGCAGGAGCGTCTTCCCGCCAAGGAGCGGGAAGGGTTCTGCCCGGTGGGCGGGCAGGCTGCTTGGAGGAGGTGACCTGGCGGTGCTCCGGGTTGCCCCTCCGCTGTGCAGCTCGGGCCCAGGCGCTAGCGCCCGTGAGGAAAAAGGATGCCGCAAGTTGCTGGGAAGTTGCTCGGGTGCTGGGAGCCGCAGTCGTGGTGAGCGGCTCGTCGGGCACATATGCAAGGGCTTTTAAAGTGCCGCCCGAGCAGGACCGCCGAGCCGGGAAACGGGGCACCAAGGCAGGGCAAGGCTCCACCAGCAGCGGCCTAGCTTTAGGTGGCTCCAAGCAGCCGGCTCCAAGCAGCCCACCCACCCGCCGGGCGGAACCCTTCCCGCTCCTTGGCATGAAGACGCTCCCATCTGCAAACTTTGCCTTTGCAAAGTTTAAGCCTGGAAGCCCCGGAAAAAAAGGGGGGATCAGTGGGGTCTCATCTTTGGAGAGGTGGCACTCGAAGGTGATTTCGAACTCCCAGCCGAGGCCTTTGCAAAGTTCTTCTTTTCTTTCCTACCCCGAGAGCGCTCTGCACTGTTTTGCAGCTTTGGGGGCCATGCGGCACAGGGCAATAGCCACGCCCAGTGATTTTTTTCAGGGGCGGGCCGGATTGGACAGACCAACAGGCCGGATGTGGCCCGCGGGCCGTAGTTTGCCCACCCCTGCCCTAGAGCCTAGAGCTCAGAAAACAACACAAGCCGCCGCCACCACCTCCTTCCCCTCCTCCCGAGCGGACTGAAAGCAGCTGGGGCTGAGGAAATGAAGCCAAGCGGAGCCGAAACCACCTCGGCTCACGTTTTTTTCTGAGCCCGCGAGCCTAGAGCCAGAGCGCTTTCATTGCATGGCGGAGGTTCTTGCCTCGGGAAACGCCAGGCATCGTTGCTGTCCCCTGAGGGGAGGGCGGTTCTGGGCTGCGCGATTGGGGGACTTTGTGGCTTTGGGTGGGTGGGTGGGAGTGAGGATGGAGTCCGCGAAGTGGGGCTTGCCTGCCCTTGCTGGCTGCCTCTGCTTCCTTAGGGGTGGGGAAGGGGGCTCATCTGGACCAAGGGTGAGTCTCCCCCTCAGTTTCCCCTGAAGGATCTTCCGTCGCTTTTCCCTTCTCCCTATGTCTTCCCTCTGTTAAAATCCCGCCCCCCCCCACACACACTTATTTTCGGGCAGACAGATTTCGTGTCTCAGCATTCACACATGACGGTGGGTCGTTTCCCCCCCCCTAAAAACAGTTAAAAAAGAAAAAAACAATATATCCTCATGCAAGAACTTTTCTGCTTCCGATTACCCCCACGCTTACAAGTTGCAAAGGAAGCAGGGAAGCAGCTGCCCAGCTCCAGAGCTCCACACCATTTTTTTTTCAGAGGGGAATCTCAATCGAGTATAAGCTGAGGGTTTTTTTTTTTTCAGCACAAAAAATGTGCTGAAAAACTCCGCTTATACTCGAGTATATACAGTACCTTTTCTTCTCTCTCTTTTTTTTTTTGATTTTGCAACATTTTAGGCTAGAGGCTCTCTTTAGTTATTTTTCCTTTTTTTATATATACTTTCTCTTTTTTAAAAAACTTCTATTACGTTTTGTCTGGGAAAGGAGGGGGAAAATGAGAGTAAAGAAACTTTGTAACACTGCCAACTAGAGGCTTGAAAATGTTTTAGACCAAGCTGAGAAAGCTGAGAAAGTAAGATCTGAGACTCCCTTTCAAGGACACTGCTATGTGATAAGATAGAGGGAAGAGCACAGGAGAGTGTTATTGCAGGTGTTCTTCTGGATTTCTATCAACAATTGAAGCTTGGTTTTGAAGTTGTGGAGAAGAGAGTTATAAATAAGAGCCTTGGACAATTAAATAAAGTGCAGTGTGTTCTTCTTATTTTTCTTTAAGTTGTGCTACCCCTCCTTACCAGCTTTACTGTACTCTTTAAAAAAAAAAAAACCCTTTATTTATGTAATATTTCCATTTTTTGCTTTTTTATTTTAAAGGGAAAGCCTCAAAAAATTTTCTTTTTCTTTCCCCTTCTTCTTTGGGTTTTTTGTCTTTCCATCCATTCTTTTGGTTCATTTTTATGTTTCTTTTTTTTTGACCTCTTAATTGGATTAAGGTGTTGAAGAACCTGAAGAATTTTTTCTCTTTTTTGTTTTTTGAATTTTTTCTTTTTTTGTCTCTTCCCTTCCTTTTTTCTTAACTATTGATTGGATTAAGGCTTAGAAGAGCCTGAAGAAATTTTTCTCTCCTCTCTTTTTTATTATTTTTGGGCTTTTTTCTCTCTACCATTTTTATTTTTCATCTTGGATTATAATTGGCTACTTCACAATTGAATTAAGAAGAACCTGAAGATTTTGAATTGTTTAAAATGAGCAGGAAATTTATAGCTTCTGGTCCTTCAACTTCTACTTCCGCCTCCCCACCATCTGGAGGACAACGTTCAATCCAGACAATGTTAAAGCAAGATAAAGAACAAGAAAAAGTGACCCTACAGATGATTATGCAAGGAATCCAAGAACTTAAAACAAAATCTGACACTATTGAAAAGAGAATAGAGAAAACTGATGAAAAAGTGGAGAATATTCAACAAATGATGGTGAAGTATGATGAGAGATTCCAAAAAATTGAAGAAGATAAACAAAGAGACAAGAAGATTGGAGATATTGATACCAGATTAACAGTGGTTGAGCAAGATAAAAGTGGGATGCTGAAATGGGAGATGGACAGATCAGAATTTTATCTCAGATTTCAAAACATAGAAGAAGAAAAAGGACAAAACTTAGCTGAGATAATGATAGAAATACTGGCTGAAGCCTTGCAAATAACAGAAGAGAAGATGATAGATGGAGTAGATGAGGTATATCGAGTTTTAGCAAGATATGCGATGAGAAATAACCTACCAAGAGAAGTTCATATTAGATTTACAAAAAAAGCCATTAAAAAACAAATATTACAATTGGCAAGAGAGAAAACCTTGAAATACAAAGGCAAGGAGATTGTGGTCTTAAAACAAATACCCAGAAAAGTGAAAGAGCTGAGAAGAAAATACTGATTCTTGACCAAAATGTTACTGAAAAAAGAGGTGAATTATAGATGGCTGATTCCAGAAGGTTTAATGTTTATGTGGCAAAAACAGAGACATAGAATCGATTCAATTGAGAAAGCAGAATTATTCTACGCAGAATTTTTTGGAAGGAGAGAGGAAGATGCAGAAAAAGAGATCTCATTAATTGAATTTCAAGAAGACCAAATGCGGACTGAAAAAGAAGAAGGCGCAGTAGGTAGACAGGTGGAAACTAAAGAACAATGTGAACCAAGATCTACGAGAGCTGCCAAACCCAACTATAAAGCATAATCATGGAAGAGAAAAAACTGATTACAATGAATATAAATGGACTCAATTCAGCTGCTAAAAGAAGGAAATTTTTTCATAAATTAGAGAAATTAAAATTTGACATAATTTGTCTACAAGAAGTACATATTAAAAAACAATATGAACAGCTGTTGGTACAGCCAAAATTAGGGAAAATATTTACTTCTTTGACTCAATGTAAGAAAAGAGGACTGGTTTTATATATCAAAGAGACCATCTCAGCAAATTTGATTCATACTGATGAAGATGGAAGGGTATTAATGGTGGAAATAATGGACAATAATATGAAAACACTCTGATTGCAATTTTATGCTCCAAATGATAAACAAGAAGAATTTTATAAAAAATTACACATGAAAATAATTGAACTGGACTACGTTAATATAGTTATGATGGGAGACTTCAATGAAATTGTAGACAACAAAATGGACTATACAACAACAAAAACAAAGCAAAATAGAAAGACTCTCCCAAAATCTTTTTTTTAAATGACAGATGAAATAAATTTAAAAGATATATGGAGAAAAAGAAACGCTAAAACCAAACAATACACCTTTTACTCAAATAGACATTTATCATGGTCCAGAATAGATATGATTTGGATCTCAATAGAACTAATATCTAATATTCAAGAAACAATATTGAAATAAGTACTTGGGCAGACCACAATCCAGTGACAATGAAATGGAAAGAACAAAAAAAAAGATCGAGATGGACATTAAATAATACTATTTTGAAGGAAAAGGACTTCACACAGCGGATGGAGAAAGAATTGGCCTTTTTCTTTAGAGAAAATAAAAAAGAGGATACTTCAATTCAGAATGTATGGGATACAATGAAGGCATATGCTAGAGGCTTGATAATAGACTATACAAGGAAAAGGAACATTAGGAAAAGGCAAGCTACTAAAGCTTTAGAAGATGATCATAAAAGACTTGAAAAAGAATTACAGAAAACGCCACAGAGAAAGGATATTAAGCTAAAACTGGATATAATTAAGCACAAAATAGGTCAAATAGAGAAAGAAGAATTAGCACAGAAAATTAGAAGTGTTAAACAGAACTATTTTGAAGATGCAAATAAACCAGGTAGATGGTTAGCATACAAATTGAGAAAGGAGAAAGAATCAAGGAAAATATTGCAGTTAGTAGATGACCAAGGTCAAGTCTGCTACGACAATAAAGAGAAGAAAGAAATTATTAGAGACTTTTATGGGAAATTATATAAGCAAGAGAATATTGATGAGGAAAGAGTCAAACAGTATTTACAGAATGCTAATCTACCTAAGATACCTAAAGAGACTGAAAAAATGTTAGAAAGCAACATAACAATGATGGAGTTAACTGAAGCGCTTAAGAAGCAAAATAATGGAAAGGCACCAGGCCCAGATGGACTTCTGGAAGAATTTTATAAAACACTACAAGAATCACTGAGCCTTCCATTACTAGAAGTCATGAATGAAGTTATGTTAAAAAAGATGATACCTAAAACATCGTCAGAAGCCCATATTACACTCATTCCAAAAGAAGAGGCTGACCCATTGCAAATTAAGAACTACAGACCTATTTCTTTATTAAATGCAGATTATAAAATTTTCGCTTCAATATTGGCAGAAAGACTCAAAAAAATATCTAAACAACTTTATTCATTCTGATCAAAATGGATTTCTGCCAAAGAGACAAATTAAAGATAATATGAGAGTAATTTTGGACACTTTGGAATATTATGAGGCACACCCCGAAAAACAAATGGCTTTGATATTTTTAGATGCACAAAAGGCATTTGATAATGTGAATTGGAGATTCATCTTATTGTTATTGGAACAGATGGGTTTCGCCAGAAAATTTATTCAAGCAATAGAAGCCATATATCATAAGCAAACGGCAAAGGTAATGATGGAGGGAGAATTGACAGATTCCATCAATATAAGAAAAGGTACAAGACAAGGATGCCCACTATCACCTTTGTTATTTATATTAACTTTGGAAGTCTTAAACAGAAATATCAGAGACGAAAAGAGTATAAAAGGAATAAAAATTAAAAAGGAAGAATTTAAATTGTAAGCTTTTGCGGATGATCTGGCTTTTATTTTGGAAGATCCTTTAGAAACAGCACCAAAATTATTGGATATGATAGAAGCATATGGCAAGGGGGCTTGTTTGAAAATAAACAAAGACAAGACAAATTTTTTTACAAAGAATATGCTATTAAGACAAAAAGAAGAATTGGCAAACCTATTGAAAATTCAAGTCACGAATAAGATCAAGTATCTGGGGATACATTTGACAGCAAGATGTAGTACATTAAAAGAGAACAACTACATTAAACTTAAACAGCAGATAGCGTCAGACTTGACGAAATGGGAAAATTTACAATTGTCATTAATAGGGAGGATTTCAACAATCAAGATGAATATTTTACCCAGAATTTTATATTTGTTTCAAACAATACCAATTAGGCTTGGAAAGGACTATTTTGAAGATTTAAATAAAATTGTGCTGAAATATATATGGCAAGGTAAGAAAGTGAGAATAAAATTAAAACTCTTGCAAGATGCTAGAATCAGAGGAGGATTTGGTTTGCCTAATTGGGAGTTGTACTACAAAGCAACTAACTTGATGTAGGCTAAGGAATGGATAACATTAAGGAATACTAGATTGTTGATATTAGAAGGACATGATTTGTTGTTGGGGTGGCATGCTTTTTTATGGTATAAGGGAACCAAAACACAGGGGTATTTTAGAAGACATCATATTCGGGAGTCTCTGTGGTTAAATTGGGAGAAGATCAAAAGACAATGTTATTTGAAAATTCCAGTCTGGTTATCGACTATTGAAGCTTTTTCCAATTCTATAATATATAAGAAGGAACAAACAGTTAGATATGGGGAAATTTTGAATGAAAAGGGTGAACTTAAATCTATGCAAAAACTAGAGGAACAAGGTATGTGCAAATGCATTCAAGGTATGATAAAGATTTTAAAACAGAAGGTTTTTATGATAAATTGACTGACTTAGATAAGATCTTGACAGGTACTGATGAAAAGGTGATTAAAAGATTATATGGATATCTATTAGAGATTAAACTAGAAGAAGAACAAGTTAAAGAAAGTATGATTGCTTGGGGAAAGAATTTTAGATATGGGATTGATTTAGAAAAATGGCAAAAACTGTGGTCTCAAAGTTATAAAATGACAATGTCAACAGCATATAAAGAAAATTTGTATAAGATGTTTTACAGGTGGCATTTTCCCCCAACAAGAATAGCAAGAATGTTCAAGAATAAATCCAAAAAATGTTGGAAATGTCATCAGATACCTGGCTCATATTACCATATGTGGTGGACTTGTTTGGACGCTAGAAAATACTGAACTAAAATCCACATGTGGTTGGAAAAAATGACAAAAAAAATATAGATTTGAAACCAGAGATATTTTTATTGGGAATTTTACCTGATATATACAGTAAAGATTTGAAATATTTGATTGTAAATGTTTTAACAGCGGCTAGGATTGTATTTGCTAAAAACTGGAAAAATGAGAAAATACCATCGCAGGAGGAAACTATTAAGAAAATATTGGAATGTGCTAAAATGAGTAGATTGACATTTGAAATTAGAGAACAAGAGGATAAACAATTTTACAAAATTTGGGACCTTTTCTATCAATGGTTAGATAATAAAATATAATAATGGAATACGCCGAATCTTAGAAAATAATGAATATACAGAAATGTATTTCTTTTCTTTTTTTAAATTATTTTATCTATAAAATGTTTCTAGGATAGATTTGGGAGGATTATATGAATTGTTATAAAATAAACTAAGTAAATTATAGTTATATCGCAAGGTATGAATGAACAAAATTATAGTCAAATGATTGATTAATAATGATACTAGGGTATTTAATTTTTTATTGATGATATGAATTATTATGTAATGTAACTGTAATTGAGACTATGAAATGGATGCACAAAAAATTTGTAAACCAACTGACACACTGCTTGTACATTTATGGAAGAGGGTTGGACGTTTTTATGTTTTGTTTGTTTTTGTTTCTTTAAAAATCAATTTAAAAAAAAAATTTTTTAAAGAATTTTCCCTTTTCCTTTTTTTCCCTTTTTTTTCAAGCCTTTTTCTTCATATAACTACTGATTGAATTCAGGTATACAAGAACCTGAAGAAATTTTGTCCTCCCTTGTTTTTCCTTTTTTTTATCATTATTATTGGGCTTCTTTTTTCTACTATTTTTATTTTGAACTATAATTGGTTACTTCACAGTTGGATTAAGGTTTAGAAGAACCTGAAGATTTTGAATTGCTTAATGAGTAGGAAATTTACCATTTTTGTATTTGCCAAAAACTGGAAAAATGAGAAAACACCATCACAGGAGGAAATCATTAAGAAAATATTGGAATGTGCTGAAATGAGTAGATTTACATTTGAAATTAGAGAATAAGAGGATAAAACAATTTTATAAAATTTGGGATCTATTCTATCAATGGTTAGACAATAAAATACAGTAATGAAATATGTAGACTTTTAGAAAATAATAAATATATAAAGATGTACTTTCTTATTATATCTACAAAATGATTTTAGGATAGATTTGGGATGCTAATATGAACTGTTATAAAACAAACTAAATAAATTATGATTATCTTGTAAAACATGAATGAATAAAAGTATAGTCAAATGATTAATAATGATACTAAGGTATTTAATTTTTGATTGAAAATACGAGATT